GGATGCTTTTCACATGATGGACGTTATCATGGGCCCTCCCCCAAAACGTCTGCTCTCTGCAAACCACGGTGTTAATGCTGGTTTGGCATCAGGGCTGGAACATGAAGATGACGACAGAACAGGCAGGCACAGTCTGTTGTGGTTGTGGCCAGCAATTGTCGACCTGCTAGACTTGTTGCCTCGTGCCTCGCCTAGATGGTGGGTCATGCGTCGGAGTGGAGGTCTATGGAAGGATCTCCTTCCTGTTGACGATGCGCAGAACGACCATTACATAAGCCTTCTCCGAATGTGTCGTACCAACTGCACCTTAATACAAAATTTACATTGTACCTCTTTCTCTTCGTCTGGTTCATATCCCAGTAACTCGGTAAGCCCGACCACCCTTCATGTATCGTCAGCGGACGATAGAAGTCCATCACTTGACTAAATTTCCCCTTGCACTGATAATGATCACGATTGTATCCTCTCTCCCACATGCGATCTTCAACATTCTTCCAAAACCCTGCCTTTGCGCGAGCCCTTCCCATCCCCTCCGTCTCCTCACCGAGAAGTGCCTTCGTCTCGTTGCGTGTTTGGCAAAGCACCGTCGTCTCCTCCTCCCCCCACCTATCCAAGTTCTTCGGCGGGTCAGGCAGTCTGACACGTCCACGTTGCGGACGCCCTCCCGCGGATGATCCGTAACCCCCAACATCTGTCGCCGGGACGTAGGATGGACCGTCGTTCGCCGCATGGGCATTGGCATCACGACTTGGCAGTGCTTGTGGGGAGACGTGTGCACGGATGGGCACGTCCGGATTGCCAAGTCCACCATCAATGAAACCCGCACTCCCCCCTGTCGAAAAAAACCCACCTTCACGTCGCGCACTAGACGATTGATGATATAATCACACCCCGGACTCTGCTGCGCAGTGCTCTGAGAACGCCCCCCCCCCCGGCGGGGGTGTGACGCTGTCTCCTACCCCCTGCGCACTACTCGAGCGGGGTGGAGGGGTAACGCGTCCACCGTCTAACGATCTGCGAGGCCCATTGCTGCAGTCACCGACCGCCAAAGGCGACGTTGCCGGAGTGACAGTGCGCAACGCCTCGGAATGAGAAGGGGACAAATGGGGAACCCGGCTACCAGCCACAACAAACGGATTTCGTGACTGCCCCTTCGCCATGGCTATGGCACGCATCCAAAACTGCTGCCTCAGGTAATTCTCATCTCGTACAGTCACCCCATAACTTAGCCCCGCAACGGGAGTTCGTGGAGAGGACAGCGGAAGCAGCAGTGTGGCATCGACGTCACGACAAGGGGAGCCCCTTCCCGGGCCCCTACTCCCGAAAAACTGGGAATTGGGGACCTGAGTGCCCAACACGTCTGTGACACCGGCCACGGTTTCCTCCATACAGAATGCATGCTCAGTGGCATTCGGAGGAGGGGCAAACCCTGGCTGTCCTCGCAAAGCACCGGTTTGTTGGGCATGGTCGGCATGGGGAGTCCCATACTGGGACTCCAAGTACCCCCAGTCCACTATACAGGACAGTCCCACATTCTCATCCGGCGTTTCCATGGGAGAAAAAATGGAGCGTGGCTGAAGAAAGGTGGACGAGGTGTTAGGGGCGAAACACGGCTTAGACGATGGCGTCAACGACAACACGTAACGGAGATGGCATCGAATAGAAGTCGGGAGGTTGGAAACGGACAGAACAAAAGCGCTCTCCACGTAACGTAATGGACCACCGCCTAAACCGTGGACTCGACGTGGAGGCGAGATGCTGCAGTCTCCGACGGTTTTCACATGCGCATAACATCCCATTTGGGGAAAGGTACATGCACCGGCCTACACTCGAAAACAGTGCCTCGAGGTCAGTCAGGAAAGAAAGAATTGAATGTGGCCCGAATGTTTGGCTTTAAAAAGGCGGAGGGACGTGCACCTACCCCTATTTGCGGCAATGTTTTCAAAAAAACTTTCAGTAAGGGGGTTCAAAACGACCCCCGTTTGCGGACTGTCAGACCACATTTTGTTTTCTGTTTTGCCATTGCACGGCCAAAAGTGGGGCCCGCGAAGTCTTGAAAACGCCCCCCCCCCCCGCAAGGTCTTGTTTTCCAAACAGCGGAGCAGCATTCTCTGGTAATTTCCTAAGAAGTGGGAGGATTTCCCTCGAACGGGATTGGCTGGTTGATTCCCTGTTCCTCGCTCATGGATGGCAAAACCTGCGACCGTCGAATCTGAGGCAGATCTACGACAATGAAATGTCGCCAAGGGCCACACATGATCCAAAAGCCGACGACGGCGTGATATACTTGGCTAGTGGGTCAAGGCCCCTGGTTGCACTTACTCGGCACTATATTTCTTCACAGAAAAGTTAAAAAAAATTGTCTGCCTGATGTCCACTCGTGAAGCCGTGCACTCTCCAAAAAGTTATTTTGTGGAGAGGTCTGAGGACCACCCTCCACAATCCGTCGTACACAGGCGGGGAAACCGAAAACTTTCGCCACAGCTTGTGTCGACAGTGTCTGACATATTTTTCATTCGCCAAGTTTGGCGAGTAAGTGGAACCAGGCGCCTCCTCGCCAAACTTGGCGTATGGAGAGTAATGCAACCAGGCCCTTTCTGGAGAGTGCACGGCTTCACGAGTGGAGATCAGGCAAACAATTTTTCTTAACAATTCTATAGAAGAAATATAGTGATGGGTATGGAGAGTGTTGCAACCAGGCCTCCAATTTGACACGATTCTATTTTTTTTTTCTCCACCCATCCGCCACGAATGGGGCGGATGGATACGCTGCGTTGAAAGAGAGGCTAACAAGTGAAGCGTGGGGGGAGGCTGATGTTTCCAATCTCATCATCGCTTATTCAGGGAAGTCTGTGTTACCAGCAACGACAACATCATCAACAACAACAACAACGACGACTACTCTAGTGCTCATCGGGGCGATGCCAATAACTGCAACAACGCAACACTTGACAACAACTACGATTTCAACAACTTCGATGTCACTCCTGAGTTCGTGCACGCCCGGGAGTGACACCAACTACAACAACACCAATAACAACGTTGTGGCAAGTGCAACTGGACTTTCCCGTTTCCCCCCCCTCCTCCCTCCCCACTTGTATTCCTGCTTTCGCTTTTTCGGTGTTGATTGGGTGGAGGGCCGAGGGGATAAGGTGGATGGATTGATTGGTAAATTGAGAGGGGGTGTGGGGGAGCAAGGAGTGGGATGGTGGCGCGAAGGGGTAGGATAGGGCTGAGTGTGATGCTTGGGTGATTGATTTAACCCCTGCCACATGGCTATTGTGTTTTCACCTCTTTTTATTTTTTCCTACTCAAGCACGATGTTGGCCATGTGGCAGAGCACGGGGTGTCGTGAGGATCAATGTTGCGGTGAGGATCGATGACACCGGGATGTTTCGGTGATTGAGGTGACCCCTGCCACGTGGCTATTGTGTTTTCACCTTTTTCAATTCTCCTACTTGAGCCTGATTTCGGCCATGTGGCAAAGCATGGGGTGTCGTGAGGATCGGCTCCAGAGCTGTTTGTGAGATTGTTTTGAGCCCTGCCATGTAGATATTCCAATTTGACCTTTCTCAATTTCTCCCACTCGACTGCACTTTCGATTCATCAGGCTCTCTGGTGGGCACATACCCTTTTGCAATTAACATAGGTTTCCACCACGTGGTGGGGTAGGAGGTGCAGTGGTGTTAGGCACCAGGGCTGTATTTGCGATCGCTTTCTCTCCTGCCACATGGGTATTTCGTTTAAACTTTATGCAACAGAGCCTTCCCCACTTGTGTGGCTAGTGGCTAATTAGGATCGTGGGGGGAAGCTCATCGCAACTGTTCATAAACTACTAAATTACTAAACTAGCTTGCTCTGTTTAATCTCTTTGCCTGATCTGTGTCTCCCCTACTCCTCACTGCGCAGAAGATTGTAAAGGATGATTGAGGAGGCGAGTAGGACAGACTTTGATTTAGCACAAAGTGGGGTTAATCCTTCCTCATTGGGGAAGTAATCCATGCCCTGAGATTACACTATATTTGTGCTATACAGAGAAGTTGTCCCCAAGGGAGCAGTGGTTGAGGAGATGCAGTGGGGTTAGGCACCAAGGCTGCGTATGCGATCGTTTTCTCTTCTGCCACGTGGGTATTTCGTTTTAATTTTCTACAACAGAGCCTTCCTCACTTGTCAGGTTAAGTGGCTTAATTAGGATCATGGGGGGAATCTCATCGCAACTATCGACAAACTATTGAACTACTAAACTGGCTTGCCCTGTTATTAATCTCTTTGCCTTATTTGTATCTCCCCTACTCCTCAGCGTGCAAAAGAGTGTAGTGGATAATTGAGGAGGCGAGTAGGGCAGACTTTGATTTTAGCACAAAGCGGGGTTAATCCTTCCTCAATGGGGAAGCAATCAATGCCCCGTCGCTAAATGGGTGTTATACAGGGAAGTTGTCTCAAGGGGAGTAGTGGTTGAGGCTCTTCCAGTCCTAATGGGAAGGAGGCGTGTGTTTAAAATGTTGTAATCAAATTCGTAATTGGAGCCTTGGGCACTGGGCTTGTTTCTTTATAAAAAAAATAAGAAATAAAAAATAAAAACAAAAAACGAATTGTGGCGGATGAAGAGAAGTGCAACTACGCCCTTAGGGGCTCATTGTTGTTGTTGTTGTTTTGACAGATTCATTATTTTTTTAACTACACTATGGGCCTTGAAACTCACGAGGCCATCCAGCGGCCTAGCTCAGTTGGGAATGCACACAAGTGTCATTCAGGAGTCTTGGGTTCAATCCCCATTGGCCTCATGTACCTTTCTGGGCAAGCTTGGCACCCGCCACCTAGAGATATGTCGTTGGTTCCCCCCAGTGGCATTGAGCAGAGACTGCTGATGCTCATAGGGGGAGGGGACCGGAGGGGAGGCACAGTGACCGGCCCATCGAAATAGCTCGGTCCTAATGCTACCGGCTGACCCCTGGCCGGTATTGCCCACCTGCTGTAGCAGGTATCTCACCTACTGGTGGGTGCAGCTCCCACATGTTCCCTCATTGGAGGCTTGAGCACGAATGTGGCTGCTATGGGGCTCCCTGTAATACCATAATGACAATAAAAAAGGGCCTAAAAGGGCGTCCTGTCCAGATTCAACAGGTAATTGAATTGGTTGGGCTTAAGGAATTAGCCTTAAGAAAGAAAAAAAACGAAAAAACAAAAAACTCGTGAGGTCGAAAATAAATTGTCGTTTCGTTTATTGCACAACTGCCACACAACACACGTGAAATCACTTACTAAAACGGCCTGACGAGTTCGTGGGAGGCCTAACATGCGCAAATGTCCATTTTTTTTTTACGAACACTCTTTGGACCGACGTGCTGCACTCGCGCGGATTCATAGCTCCACCAGCAAACCTTCGAAAAACCTACGACTCTATGAGTTTGTGCGATGTACAAGCGGGGATGGCAGTTGCTCGTGCTCACACTCGCAAACTTCAAGTCTGACATCATTCGCGAGTTTTCACAAAGAGGATCGGCGACGGTGTTGTGCGGCGAAATGGAGTAGTCTTTATTTTCGTGTAGCGTACCGTCCGGCGAGCCTCTATGTTCTTCTCTCAAATTCTTTTTGCCTTTCACTACCTTCCTACCACTATTCCTAAGACTATATAGAGGGGACCCCTGCAAGCATTTGTTATTTCGTGCTGCTAGATGGGGCGTAGATGGGACATGAAGTTATGGGACAAGTGCTCGGTCTTTGCATTAGTCGCCCTCCCCACCTGCGCCCCCCCTCGGCTCCTTGGAAGGGACTTCCTATTTGTTCTCATTGCAATGTGTGGGTGGGTGGGTGGGTGGGTGTGGGTGTAAATGTTTTCCCTGCTCTTGGCCTCCGCCACGTCCGCGGCGGGCATCCTCTTGTTATTTTTTACTACACTACGTTTTTCTCTCAAATTCTCTCACTACCTTCCTACGACTACTCCTAAGACTTTATAGAGGGGACCTCTGCAAGCATAGCGCCTCGCAAATGAGGTAAATCATGTTGCCCCCCGCCCCAACAACGGCAGTTAGAGATGTGGTGGGGTCGCTGGTGGCAGTCTAGCTAACACAAAGACCGAGCATTTTGCCAGTATCTGCGCCTCCCTTTCTCATCGTCCCCCACCCCTCATCAAGTAGCAGCAGGGGCTATGGCCAACACTCTCTCACACACCACACACAACCCACTCGCTCTCACAATCGCTCGAGTGTTGGTCATAGACCCCGCTAATAACGATCAGAGATCCAGAGGACTATTACAGTCCTTTGGCACTAAGTGCACCTTTGACGTTCAACCTCACTCCCTGTGCTGTCTTTTGGTTGGAGTGATAATTACGCCGAATAGGCTTTGAAAGAACAACAAAATGGGGTGCGCCAAGGATTTTTGGGAATATTGAGTGTGGGGCCACAGATAAAAGTGAAAGCCCCCGTGCGATTCCAATTTTAGTGAGGAAGGACCATAGTCGTGCGGGAAGATATGGAGTGCGCTACTTTCAAATGTTCCCCAAATCCAAAAAGTATCTTCGTACTTCCATGCAGGCTACTCGTCGTCTTTTTGAACGAGAAGGCGAGAGTACGCACGTGGGATCCCGTTTCGAATTAAGTTTCAGTGCCGTTTGCTATAGAGTTCAAAATCCGACGTGGATGGCCTTAGCCTGGTCACTCTTTCCTTGTGCTCGTCCTCACCACGTGTCCGATAGTGGAACCCCTTTTCCTGATAACACTCGGTGTGGCGACAATCGCTACGCATAGTGTTGGGTCAGTAGGGCACTACTGTCGTCCACTGGATGACAATCAGTTCATTAAAAGATAATAATAAAGAGTACGGGGGGAAATGGGTATCCGTCCACAAGATGACAAAACCAGCGCCCACAAATCCCGAACACCTTGTCTCGGGTGGAAAACAATAGTGTCTTCCGATCTTGGTAACGACTTCCCGTACGTCCCACTCACATACACGTGTTCTTTCCTCGTTATACGGGAATGGTCGAGATGAGGAAAGGGAAAGTCGGCACCCAGTCGGAT